AACCCAAGAACCGCGAGATCATGACCTAAGCGAAAGTCGGACGCTTAACCGACTAAGCCACCCAGGTGCCCCTTTAAAATTTATTTTGAGAGAGACACAGTGTGAGTGGGGGGAGGAGCAGAGAGAGAGAGAGAGAGAGAGAGAGAGGATCCCAAGCAGGCTCCATACTGCAAGCACAGAGCCCGATGTGGGAATCAAAACTCATGAAACCTGAGATCATGAACAGATCCAAAACCAAGAGTCAGATGCTTAACCGACTGAGCCACTGAATCGCCCCAGTAATATTCTCTTTAAATATAAAGTTGATATTATAGAACACTTTCTCTACCTCATTGAGAACCTTCAAGTATTGCCATGATCCATCAAGGTCAAACTCAACACCTTCTTTCTCCATAAAGGCTTCCAGACTATTTTTTTCTGTTGTGGACTCTCTGCAACTCTAATGACTCTTAACCCACAGCTCAGCATTTGCTTTTGAAGTCTCTGACTTCTCCCCTGGGGTTTTATGGGTCAAACCTACTCTTCATCCCTAGTGGTGAGTCCCCAAAGGCAGAGCTGCATCTTCTACCCTAAATAAAGGGCTTGTCAGAGTGCCGAGCCCACAAGATGTCCTCAGTCAACATTCCCTGAGTGGACCTTCCACACTGGGTGGCCTTGATCCTATGAGAAATGGAGAAGGCACGTAAAGAGCCATTCATACCCTTGTTAGTGCTCTGCACATGGGAGCCTCCCAGGTCTCCGGGACAGAGCAAAGCACAGTGCTCTTCTGGGCTCTGGTCTATGGCCTGGGCCTTGGTTGTACCAGGCTCCGGCCCCTAAGCTAAGTGGGCAAAGACCAGGAAGAACAGAGTCATATATGACAGTGGAATGGCCTCCTCCTCCTGATCAGAGTGCAGGGCCTGAGGCACTTCTTGTGGACACAGGAGCTATCACTGTCCTTCAGACTTCTGAGGTTTCAGGAATCAAAGGGGCCAGTGTTCAATAGGCCCTCAAGGCACAGCTCCCAGGTAACAAATTTTACTTCAGTGTCTTGAAGAACATGAAAGCAAACTATCACATAAGGTGCCAAGTTCCTTCCCATGCTAAACTCTTTGCCATCACTTCCCTTGCCCTCAGGATAAAGCCTAAGCCCTTTAATATGGTCAAGGCTTCAGGACTTGGCCCACATACCCCTCCAGCTTCATCTCTTACCATCCCACCTTGATTCTAGTGTCCACCCAAATTGAACCATTTATTGTCCCTTGAAACACCGTATGCTTGGGGCGCCTGGGTGGCTTAGTCGGTTAAGCGTCCGACTTTCGCTTAGGTCATGATCTTGCGGTTCGTGGGTTCGGGCCCCGCGTCGGGCTCTGTGCTGACTGCCAGCTCAGAGCCTGGAGCCTGTTTCAGTCTGTGACTCCCTCTCTCTCTGACCCTCCCCTGCTCACACTGTCTCTCTCTCTCCTAGAAATAAATAAAAACATTTAAAAAAAAAAAAAAAGAAACACCGTATGCTCATTCCTAGTTCTGCGCCTTTGTGTATGCTCTTTCCTGTGCCTTGAATGCTGTTCCCCATCTTGCACCACAAACCCCCTTCCACCTGTCACTGTGTCCTTGAGGACTTAATTCAGGCATCACTTCCTGAAGCCCTTAGCTGTGTTGGGGATTTCCTGTAGATGCCATAGCTGTGAGCCCCTGAGGACAGGGACTGGGACTTCATTTAGCCCAGATCCTGGCAGAGAATTGCTGTCAGTCAATGTTGAAGGAATAAACAAATGAGAATGTTTGAGGAGAGGCTGAAAAGTAACTGACAAGAGTATTATAAAGGCAAGTGCAAAGTTTTAGTATTTCCAAGTTCTAAGATTCAGCAGTTCCCTGATTCTTGGCTGAAGCTTCAGACTTGGGCTCCCCTTCATTTAGAGACCACTCCCCAGCTAGCTACCTTCACCCTGTGCCTTCCGAGTGTTTGTTCTCAGGCAGGCACACACACAAGTTCTGAACATAACCAGGAAAGCAATTTACAAGAGATAATTGCCGGTCGATGTGTGCTTGGGAGCAGCGGTGAGCTCAGACTATTTCTGTCTATGCGTCAGCCCACCCAACTTCCTTCCTCCTCAACTGCTCTGGGGGAAGGGGCTCCCATCGCACAGGGTGGGCAGTTTGTTTCTGACCTCAGACTCAGACAAGCCAACCCCAGTGAGAGCCAGCTCTGAGGATTGATTGAATTCAAATGGGAGATCCTTAAACATGGGGGATGGGAAGAGCTTTATGGGGCCTGGGATGTACAGGTCAGCAAAAGCAACACACACAGTCTGTTTTCCACCTATCCCCACCTCACCCCTATAGGCTCCTGCCAGGATATTCTACTGGGCCTTCAGCGCCCTGCTCAGTGTGCGGTTGGCTCTTAATCTCTCCAGCTGATTCCTCTTTGTTTTTCTTTGCTGGTCATGCTCGAAAAGGGGGACCTAGGCCAGCAGCAGCAGCATCATCACATGGAACCAGTTAAAATTGTGGGGACTTACTCCAGACCTACAGATTCAGACACTCCAAGGTGGGAAAGAGGTGGGAGAGAGGCAGTACTGGCAGTCTGTTTGTTTTTTTTTTTTTTTTACAAATAGTTTATTGTCAAATTAGTTTCTACATAACACTCAGTGCTCATCCCCAAAGTGCCCTCCTTCATGCCCATCCCCCCCTCCCCCCCCCATCCATCAGTCCTCAGTTTTTGTCAGCATTCAAGAGTCTCTCATGGTTTGCCTCTCTCCCCTTCCCCCACCCTTTCCGCCCTTCTTCTCCCCCTTGGTCCTCCGTCAAGTTCCTCCTAATCCTCCTATACGTGCAAACATATGGTATTTGTCCTTCTCTGCCTGACTTATTTCGCTCAGCATAACACCCTCAAGGTCCATCCATGTTGCTACACATGGCCAGATTTCATTGTTTCTCATTGGCAGTCTGTGTTTTAACAAGCCCTCCATCTGATTCTGATGCAGTCTCAAGTTTGAGAACCACTGCTTAGGCCACTGATGACCACCTGAGTTTTTAGAATTTACAGATTATGTCCCCCTGTCAGACCATGAGCAGCCTAAAGGCACAGGCAGTATTGGATTCTCCCTTGTAACTTCCCAAAAGACCCAGCACAGAAAGTTCAGAGGAAAATTGAAATTTACTGCTGGGGATACTAAGGAGAGATGCAGGATCTGTCCTGTGGAAGGTCATACAAAACATCAGTGACTAAAACTCCCGTCTGTCACCCACTCCCACTTAACAAACACACAAAAAAGTACCCTAAGCTCTCTCTCCAACAGATGACTTGAAGTTCCTGAGATGTGCTAGGCTCTCTCTGTTTTGGTACAGGTTGTACTCTGAACATTATGTCTTCTGACCTTGTCTCGCCTGGAAACTTTGACTCATCTTTGATGATTTGGCTCAGACATCACTAATTCCTCACTCGAACTGCTTAAGGGCCACCATTGGGCCCACTGCCTTTTGTTGGCTCTCCTTGCTCTCCAGGTGAGCCCCTTGAGGTCAGCAGCTGTGGCTGATTCCTTTTTGTTTCTGGCAACCTGCACAGGTCTTGGCACAGAATAGAGGGATATACATACAATAAGTGGATAAAGGTGCTGGGTTCAGAGTGCTAAAAATAAAAGACACACACACACACACACACACAAAATAAAAGACACATGCACTCACACATGTGCACTCACATAGACATATACACAAGCAGACATGCATGCACACATAGGACAACAAATGAAGACCAGAACCAAGGTCTTTTGACTTTCAGTCTAGGGCACTTCTGCAGGTGACTCACTCTGCCTTGCCACCCCACCATGTGCCCTTGGCTGGCTCAGGCCCCATGCGCAAATATCTAAGAGTGGCCATCCCCCTGTTGCCAAATCTAGCAGCAGTTCATGTCACTCTCAGAAATGTCAAGAGTTGCTTTCAGTGGCCACCAGATCTCCTCGATCCTTGCCTTTCACTCCCAGGGCAAAGCCTAAAATAAAGCCACTTGCAAAGTTAAGATAAAGAGAACAGCCAGGAGAAGAGTGAAGTCAGCCATCTGCCCTAAGATCCCTTAACAATAAAATTAATAATAATAATAATAATAACAATATAATGACAATAGCTAATACATAGTGCTTTCCATTTGCCAACACTGTTCTAAGTACTTTGCATGGACTAAGTGATTTGATCCTCCCTCAAACTCTATAAGTCAGGTCCTACTATTATACCTGCTTGCATAGATGAGAGAACGGAGGCACAAATGTGACCTAGCAAGTAAGGGCAGGGACAGGCATTTGGTTCCAGAGTCCCTGCTCTTACTTATTATATTATATGGAAAAACACTTATCTGTAGTTTTAAAAAAGTCTTTGTAGCACTTCCATGTTTATGAAGATAGAACATAACCATCATCTCATTGAACACTCACCATAACCCAGCAAGGGAACTGAGGCTGAGGGAGAGTTAGGGACTTTATCAAGACCAGACAGGACAGGTGTCCACACTGTGCAGCCTATATTCAGTCTGTTAACCACACCTTCCCTCTCTTGTTTATTCACTCTTTCATCCAACTAAGAAATTAAGTGATAATCAATGTGGCTGGGCTGGGAGTACTCTATACTCCCTCTCATTCTGTTCCTTGGGGCAGAGCTGCAGGAGAGGTAGAAGTCACCTGCCTCTGGGTCCCAGCCTTTTTTCCGGGGCAGCCTAGGTACACCTGCTCTGTGACAGGAAGACCAAGTCAGACTTCTCTTGCTTCCTAAGTTAGGTGAGGGGTTCCTCTGAGCCTCCAGAGGCCCCAGGCTTCCTTCTGATTCCATGGAGTTGTTACTGACCATTTCCCTGGGACTCATGTCTAAATTGTCTTAGGCCCACAGTAGGCCAGGCACAGCAGTATAAGTGGATGCAAAACAGGGCCTGGGTGGGATTGCTGGGGAAAGCCCTCAATTATCCTCCCAGGCTCCAAGGTCCCTTTGATCACCCCACCCCCACCTTTCATGGAAAAGAGGCTCCAGAAAAGGATGATTTAGAGACATTTATTGGATATTTATGGGGCTGGTCCACATGGGTCTAGGTTTGGGACAGAGGCCTCCTCAGGGCTGCCTGGAATGTCACTGGCAGTCATTGTGGCCATGAAGCAGTGCTGGAGAAGGCATTTGGGGTCCGTAGCCTGCTCCTCATTGAAGTCCAGCTGTGGGTTCAGGAAAGGGTGATTCTGCCCATGGGTGCTCACTCCTTGCACTTCCATCAAATCGCCTGTTTTCCCACCATGGAAGTCAGGGGGTGCCTCCTCCTTGTGGTCTGGAAAACAGCAGGCTGAAGGCATGGGGTTTCCTCGTGCAGACCTTCCTCCCCCCAGTCACATACACCCTGGCTAATTTCCCTGAGTGCTTACCTTGGAGGACTATTCTCATAGTTTTGAATTCATCATTCGCTTAACAAATATTTATTAACATACTACATCATTCACTAGGAGCTATCAGTGTTTCTAATGAACTTAAAGTCTACTGGGAGAGACAGACAATACACACTTGTTAGGAAAAATGAAGACTTGACCATAAACCCATAAGGTTGGTACTATTAAAAACTCATTTTATAGATGAATATACAGGCTGACTACACAGCTAGAATGCAGACAAGTGCTGGAAAAATTTTAAATATACATTATTCTCTTCTTTAAGAACAGATTCCATGACTCTCTTCAGCTACTGCTTTATTCTTTCCTCTTCTTGTATATGAGCTTGAAAGAAGGCTCGCTTGGCCTTAGTATTCCCTGTTTCCCATTCATAACTTATTCTGCTGCAATTTACTTGGTTTCTGCCCCAACATGCCTCAAAATGTTTTGTTACTAAATGTCGAGGTCACTTACAATCCTTATCTCCCTTGACTTATCAGGAGCATTTGACACAATTGAGCATTCCTGCTTTTTTGAATAAAAAGTGCATCAGGTGTTCAGGGGCACCTGGCTGGCTCAATTGGTAGGGCATGTGACTTTTGATCTCAGGGTTGTGGGTTTGAGCCCCATGTTGGGTATAGAGAGTACTTACAAATAAACTTTAAGAAAACTGTATCAAGTGTTCAAGCCAGAAATGTGAGTCCTGCAGATTCCACCAATCACCGTCTTCCATATTCACCCATTTCTCTACATCTTCAAGGCCACCAACCTCAGTCAGGCTTTCATCTTCTTCCTCCAAGACCAGTGGAACAGCCTTCAGTTAGACCCCCTCCAGTATATCCTCTAGTTTGTTGCCAGAGAGAACTTTTTAAAGTCAAGTGGGTGCATGTACTGTTTTTTCTCAAAAGCCTTCAATGTCTTCCCATTACCTGCATCCTTGGGGTGGCATCCAAGGCTCTTCATGTACTAATCCAATTCCTTCTCTTTAGCTTCATTACTCTCATCATTCCCTTAAGAATTCTACCTTTGGGACACCAAGGTTTTCATTGTTCCCTAAATAGTTCCATTCCTTCACATCTCTGATGTTTTGCTTATGCTATTTCTTCTGATTAGAATGACATTTCATATCTTCTGTCTAGAAAATGCCTATGTTTTAAGACCCATCAGTGGGGGGTATCCAGGAAGAATGATGCCTTCAAAACTAAGGGAAGGGTGAATTTCAAGAAGGAAATTGTATTGGACATTGGAGTTGGCTACCTAACATACATTCCACCTCTTCCCACCTGTTAATAGCAATTATATTTGGGTGGTATTGGCCCTATCCCAGCTCCAGGAGTGGGGCCTGGTTGGTCTGAGCCAATTGGGTAATCCCATTCCTTTGCCACATGGATTGGCAATGGATGCATAGCATTGGTTTAGGGTTGGACACGTGACCTGAATGGTCCAATAAGAGTAGAGCTCACACCTTCCTCCTTGAAAGAAGGGATAGTTCCCTCCTCTTCCTGGCTAGAAGGAAACAAAAAGCTAGTGGTCCCAGGGACTGCTGGTAGCCAACTTACTACCATAAGAAAACTCAGCCTGAGGATTAGGCCAACACAAAATAGAGGGTAGAGCTGAGAAAATCTTAGGGATGGAGACACAAGCCTAAAAACATAGTGAACTTCTATTCAAATCATGCATAAAGCCCACCTGACTTTTGGACTTCTCACCTACAGAGCTAATAGATTTCCTTTGTTTTCCTTTGAACTTTCTATTTTTAAATAATTTAAGACTCATATGAAGTTACAAAAATAGTAGAGAGTTGCAGTTTACCCTTCATCTAGCTTTCCCCAATGGTAACATCTTAAATAACCACAGAATAACTTTAAAGCTAGGAGACTGACATTGATACAATATGACTAATTAAACTACAAATCCTATTTGGTCTCTACCAGTTTTTATATGTACCCCCCCTTTTTTTTTTTTTTTTTTGGTATATGGTACTGTCAAAGTTTATCACATATATAGAAATATGATCACTGCCACAGTCAGGATAGAGAACTGTTTCATCACCACAGAAAAACTTCCTCATGCTATCTCTTTATAGTCAGACCTTCCTCCTAAGCCTAACTCCTGGTAACCACTAACCTATTCTCCATTACTATAATTTTGTCCTTCCAGAAGTGTTATATAAATAGAAATATATAGTATACCACCTTTTGAGATCGGCTTTTTTTATTTGACATAATACCCTTGAGATCCATTTAAGTTGTTGTATGTATCAATAGTGCATTCCTTTTTATGGCTGCATGTGTCCCACTGTATCGTTGTACCATCTGCTCATTGAAGGATAACTGGGTTGTTTCCAGTTTTCATCAATTACAAACAAAGCTGCTATGAGCATTGGTGTATAGGTTTTGTGCAGACAATCATTTTCATTTCTCTAGGATAAACACCTAGGAGTGTGATTGCTGATTTGTATGGTATAGTGGGCTGAACGGTGGCCCCCAAGGATATCAGGTCCTAATCTCTGGAAACCTGTGAATGTTACCTTATATGGTAAAGTTTTGCAGGTGTGATTAAATTAATGATTTTGCGAAGAGATTATCCTGAATTATCCGGGTGGGTCCTAAATGCCAGTACAACTGCCTTTTTAAGAGAAAGGCAGAGGGAGGTGGACACACACAGAGTGATGTGAAGATACATGTAGTGTGTGATTGGAGTGATATAGAAAAGGAATGCTGGCAGTCACCAGGAACCGGACAAGGCAGAGAATAGATTCTCACCTGGAACCTTTGATTTCAACCCAATGAAACTGATTTGGAACGTGAGATAATTAATATATTTCTGTTATGATGAGCCACGAAGTTTGTGGTCATTTGTTACAGGGGCTGTAGGAAACTAATTCGTACAATAAGTATATGTTTAACTTTATGAAAACACCAAGTTTATGGATGATGAGAGTGAGTGATTAATGATCTCCCTCTAACACCTTTTAGAGGGAGAATTGAACTCTTGTCTCTCATTTCCCCCGTTTTTGTATCTTATTAAATGTATCTAGGTTGGAATATCACCTCTAAACTCACTTCATTCATCTCATCTGCAAAATAGGCTTGATAATAACCACTTGACAGAGTAGTTGAGCAGGTTAAATGGGATAAGGTGTTTAAAGCATAGCGCCCAGCACAACAGTAGGAACTCAGTCACCCTTCTGATCAAGCTAGTTCCTCCCAAAGTACCAGAGTAAGAAAGTTATGGTCTTTGTTGCATCCTGAATGTGGGGGATGGGGTTGGGGTGGGTGTGCTAGGATAGTATAGAATGCCTGGGCAGCAAAAAGAACCTATTTTCAGAAGCTCGGTTCCATTTCCACTCTGCTCTTACTAAGGTACTCACTCCCTACGCTGCCCTTGTCCCCACAGTCAGGTATCATGGCCCCAAAATATAGTGCAATGATCATAGTCTTTAGAGTCTGGGAGACTGGGCTTAATACCTCAGGAACACAAGCTCACTAGCTGTGCGGCCTTGGCTAATTCACTTCCCTTGACTAAGCCTTGGTTCCTTCTGCTGTAAAATGGGGCTAATGATCTCTCCACAGGTCCTACCAGAGAAGGAGACAGAAGTGAAAAATCTTTCTTTGTAAGGGTAAAGCTCTGATGAATGTAAGACAGTGGGCCTATAAACTGTCTCAGATGCAGATGGGGTGCCTGGGTGGCTCAGTCAGTTAAGCATCTGACTTGGGCTCAGGTCATGATCTCACATTTTATGGGTTCAAGCCCTACATTGGGCTCTGTCCTAACAGCTCGAAGCCTGGAGCCTACTTTGGATTCTGTGTCTCCCTCTCTCTCTGCCCTTCCCCCATTCACACTCTATCTCTCTCTCAAAAACAAATAAACATTAAAAAAATTTTTTTAAATTTTTTTAAATGTTTTTTATTTATTTCTAAGAGAGAGAGAGAGACACCGTGAGCAGGGGAGGGTCAGAGAGAGAGGGAGTCACAGACTGAAACAGGCTCCAGGCTCTGAGCTGGCAGTCAGCACAGACCCCGACGCGGGGCTCGAACCCACGAACCACGAGATCATGACCTAAGCGAAAGTCGGACGCTTAACCGACTAAGCCACCCAGGCGCCCCTAAAAAAATTTTTTTTAACTGTCTCAGATGCAGGAGGGACGAGAAGCTCCTGGGTACACGCTGTATGTTGGGAGGAAGGAGAGCATAGCACTTAATGAAGAAGGGGAGGAACTAAGAGCTGAGTTTGGGAAAAGTGCAGAGAGAGCTGAAAGCTATCACTTAGTAAAAGGTCAGGAAATGCAATTTCCATCTTAAAAATAAGCAAGGAGTGCATGTCTGGCTCACTCTCTTAGAGCATGTGACTCTTGATCTCAGGGTTGTGAGTTTGAGCCCCATGTAGAGATAACTCAAAAATGAAATCTTAAAAAAGAAACAAAGAAAGAAAAGAAAAGAAAAAGAAGAAGCAAAAAGCAAGAACACAATTGTCTCAAACCCTAGGGACTGAATAGACCACCCGGTGGCTGAGCTGTGAAAAGTAGAAGGGTAGTTTTCATTCACACGGCCAAGGGATGAACTATATTTCCTTCGAGTCAGAAAGGTTTAGGGGGATAAAATAGGGAGAGGTGAGGGGAGTAGTTCACAAGCAGGAACACCTCACAGACCTGGCCTGGCAACACAGAAAGAGTAGGACTTAGGAGGTAGAAAGACACATGTATTTGAATTCCAGTTCCACAGTTTACAAGCTATAAACCTTTGGGTAAGTCATCTAACCTCTCTGAGACCTGGTGTTCACATCTGTAAAAGGGGTGACAATAATTAACCTAGTTGGGAAAATTAGATGAGAGAGTGCATGTAAAGTTTCAGTGTCTGGCACATGGTGAGGACTTTCCTTTCACAGCACAGGGATAAGGAGAGAAAGGAGGGTGGAGGTTGAGCTGGCTCTGTCACTCACTCACTAGGTGACTTAGGGCCTCAGTCTGTAAAATCTTCATCTGTAAAATGGATAGCAATAAGATTTGGGCTCTGCCCCATTATTGTGAAGAGCAAATGAGATGGTGTATTTAGAGCTAGTTCATTCCTTTTAATATTGATATCATATTTCATTATTCCTCTACTGATGGACAGTTTGTTTCTAATAAAACAAGCTATCATAGATCTATCTTTACAAGCCTCTCCTAGTGCAACTATTTCTCTAAGGCAGGTAGTGGAATTATAGAGTATAGTGTATATATATGCATATTTTAGTTTCAATAGATACTGCCAAATTGCTCCACAAAGTGGTTGTACCAAGTTATTCTCTTTTTTTAAATAATTTTTTAAAAAAATTTATTTCTGAGAGAGAGAGAGAGAGAGAGAGACAGCGTGAGCAGGGGAGGGTCAGAGAGAGAGGGAGATACAGAATCTGAAGCAGGCCCCAGGCTCTGAGCTAGCTGTCAGCACAGAGCCCGACATGGGGCTCGAACCCACAAACCGTGGGATCATGACCTGAGCCAAAGTCAGACGCTTAACCGACTGAGCCACCCAGGTGCCCCAAGTTATTCTCTTACCAGTAGCATATGACACTATCAATTCCTCATACCCAACTTCTCACTATTAATATGATCCATTTTTGGACTTTTGCCAGTGTAATTGATCTTTTAAGTTTATTTATTTTTTTAGTAATTTCTATCCCCAATGTGGGGCTTGAACTCACGACCCCGAGATCAAGAGTCACATGCTCTTCTGACTGAGACAGCCAGGCACCCCGCCAATGTAATTGTTTTAAAAAGTTACATCATTCTTAAGTTGCATTCTTCTGGTTATTCGTCAGGCTGAGCATCTTTTCATGTGTACTGAGCATTTGTATTTCTTTTTTTGTAGATTATGTTGTTCTCATTTGTTTAAAGATATGCCTATATATTCTGGATATCGACCTCATCTCTATTTTATATATAGTTGATTCTCATAATTCAGTTGTTAAACTTTTTTTCACATTTATTTTTTTAAGTTTATTGATTTATTTTGAGAGAGACAGAGAGCGTGAGCAGAGGAGGGGCAGAGAGAGGGAGAGAGAAAATTCCAAGCACTGACAGTGCAGAGCCCAATGGGGGCTTGATCCCACAACCACGAGATCATGACCTGAGCCAAAATCAAGAGTTGGACACTCAACTGACTGAGCCACCCAGGCACCCTGTAGTAGTTATATTCTATAAAGTCATCACAAATGCTGAATTAATGAATACTGAATCATTGCTCCTGGGGGAATGCTAGGTTAGGTTCTTGTGAGCCTCTGGTCACAGCAGTTTTGTCATCTGACCAGTACATAAATTTGTTTTATGTGTGTTTCTGTTTGAAGACACATTGTTTAATATATATTGTTGATTCGTTAACATTGAACTCATGACCAACAGTATTATATCTCCTGCCCAAACAAGGTTTATCTAACACATGTGTTTTCTCCATAAGGCACATCACAGCAGCCTTCTTATGCTTAGGAACAGTAGACAATATTTCAGCACTATATTTGGGGACCATTTTAAACAGTGAAATTAACAAAAATCACAAAAATGCAAAACATATGGCACTAAATATATACTTGTTTACAGTATGAGAGCTGAAAACAAGACAGAGTATAGCCTTGTTTAACCTCAGCTGGGTGTGGGTCTGATGGGAGAACTCAAACTTTTTGCTGCTCTGCACATGTCCGCATCCACAAATGACCTCCAAAACACTGTAAATATTGATTTTGAGGTTACAGATAAATTTTAGCAAGTAGGATTGTCTATATGTGTGTATTTATCTTTATGTTTATAATAACTTTGCAGTCATCATTTGTTTTGTAATGTTATTTATATATCTTTTGTCTTTTTAAAAACAATTTTTTTAAGTTTATTTATTTATTTTGAGAGAGACAGAGAGACCATGAACAGGGGAGGGGCAGAGAGAGAGAGGAAAAGAGAGAGAATCCCAAGCAGGCTCCACACTGCCAGTGCAGAGGCTCGAACTCACAAAAGTGTGAGATCATGACCTGAGCCAAAACTGAGTTGGACGCTTAACTGACTGAGCCACTCAGGTGCTCCACTTTTCTCTTACTTTTATTTCATGTCTACTTGGATTTGATGAAGGCAAATTTGCCAATTCTCTTATTTAAAAAAATTAAGTGTTTTAGTCAAATTCCTACATTTTAATCAATCTGTTTCTGGACTCTCTTTTTATTATAGGTTTTTTTTTTAACATTGGCAGTATTTAGCAATTTTTAAAAAATGTTTTATTTATTTCTAGGCGAGAGAGAGACAGTGTGAACAGGGGAGGGTCAGAGAGAGAGGGAGTCACAGACTGAAACAGGCTCCAGGCTCAGAGCTGGCAGTCAGCACAGAGCCCGAAGCAGGGATCGAACCCACGAACCACGAGATCATGACCTAAGAGAAAGTCGGACGCTTAACCGACTAAGCCACCCAGGCGCCCCAACATTGGCAGTATTTGATTTGGGGTTGCATAATTCTTTATTGTGGAGTGTTGTCTTCTGTATTGTAGGATATTTAATAGCATCCCTGAATCGCTGGCCTCTATCAAGAGATACCTTCCCCAGTTGCAACAACCAAAGATGTCTCCAGACATTGCCAAATGTCCCTGGGGGACGAATGTGCAAATTAGCACAGCATTGCTAATTCTGTCAGTTGCTGTGCCAATATCAAGCGGACAATGTATCTTCTTAAAATGTCTGTTATCTGATGGGTTACGTCCCTCCTTTCTTTTCCTTTTTTTAAAAAAAATTTTTAATGTTTATTTTTAAGAGAGAGAAAGAGAGAGAGCGAGCGTGTGAGCATGCGTGCGCACGCGTGTGAGTGAGAGAAGGGCAGAGAGAGAGGGAGACCCAGAATCCAAAGCAGGCTCAAGGCTCCAAGCTGTCAGCACAGAGCCTAATGTGGAGCTTGAACTCATGAACCATGAGATCATGACCTGAGCCAAAACCAAGAGTTGGTTGCTCAACTGACTGAACCACTTGGGTGCCCTTCTTGTTTCTTTTCCAAAATTGTTTTGTTTAGTCTCTCCCTTTATTCTTCTAGATTAATTTTAGAACTAACTTGAAAAATTCCATAAAACATTTTGTTGAGATTTTTATTTATAGATTAATTTTGGAAGAACTGATATGTCTATGATATTGAGCCTTCCTTTCCACATACATGCCATATCTCATGAGGTAGTTTCTTTCATGCCTTTCATTAACTTCTATGCTTTTTCTCTGTAAAATTTAAAGCCTGGGATGTCTCTGGTCTCCCTGGGCTGTCTGGGTCTATGCTCAGGGCTTTCTTCCTATTCCCTTGTCACTGCCTCCCATGTTCCTGACTACAAGGAACCAGAAGAATCCTTCTACCCTCATCCCTTCTGCTTTTCATTGCTCAGCAAACAGCAGGATTATTCATTGTATCAAGACCAGAGAAGGGTTCTTATGCTGTTGTTTGTTACATAAGTTAAGTTGCAAAACTTATCTTTTACAACTGAAAAAGCCCTCTCTGTCTTTTCTGAAAGTTAGCTACTACCCACCTTTCTACGTCCCTGATAATTGCCGCCCTCGCTTCTTCTGCTTAGCTTAAATTCCTCCCCTGTCCTGCCTGGCCTTATTTCCTGTGGGGCCTCATGGTGAATGACCCAGTCACTGCATAACTCTTACCCAGAACTGCCCACACACTTTTACCCATTATTTACCCTAACCCAGAATGCCTTTTCTTCTTTTACCCAACCAACAACTTTGCTAACTCAGCACTCATTCAAATCTACTCCCGTTTGGGTGGGCAGAAGAAAGAGCATGATTCAAGGTAGAAAAACATGAGCTGAATTTCAGCCATACCTTTAAAATATATATATATATATATATATATATATTTTTTTTTTTTAAAGGAGGCTGCCCACCTAATGTGGAGCTTGACCTCAGGACTCCATTATCAAAAGTCACACGCTCTACCTACTAAGCCAGCCAGACACCCACTTAGCCTTACCATTTATTACTTGTGACACTTTGAATTAAGTCATCTAATCTGTCTTAGCCTTGATTCTCTCATCTGTAAAATGGAGATAATAATATTCATTTTGAGCGTTTTTTGCCAAACTATACAGAAAGATCATTTGCCAGTAGGGACTTGTATCTTTCACAATACCTTGTAGAGATCGTAAAAATGTGTGCAATAAAGACTTATGAAAAAGCAACACTTTTTTGGGGTGGGGGACCTTTGAGACTCTAGATGGCTTGTGCTAATGAAGGAAGGGGTAGTCCAAAAATTCAGATTATCAAAAAAATAACTATTTAATTTCTGAACAAACTGAGTTTGGGGAGCAGCAAATTTTTCTTCTTAATTCTATTTTGTTTGGGATAATATTAAAATCAGTTTTCATTCCCTAAGGCTAAGATGAAAACATTGTCTTAGAAAATCCACAAGACAGATTAATCTTTGTGTGACAAATAGAATCTTGACTATATCAAATTATTTTGATAAACACTGAGCACATGTGAGCTTGGGATGAAAACGTTCAGACCATGAACCTCCTAAAAATGTGCTGCTGCTTCAGGATATTCTAGTAACACTCATGAAGCAAATGTTTCATATGTCATTTCTAAATATCTCCTCTCTGTAAAGGTGCTTGCCTGTTCAATACAAGGAAATCATGAGGCCTGTTTCTTACCTGTAGGCTGTAAGCTTAAGCCTGGGTCCAACTTCGTGTGGGGCTTTGAGCTGATGAACAGGTAACAGAGCACACAGGCAGTGACAATGAAGGCCAGGAGAACCACAGCTGCTATGGACAGGCCCACCAGAGCTCCGATACTGGGGAGAGAACACAGGAGGGAGCTGAGTGTTGGGAAGGGACTTGGGAGGCAGCCTGTTAGATGAGAAGTGTTGTAGATATTGTAGGAATCAGCTTCAACCTTTATTCTGTCTCTACTTGTCTTAGACTTTCTGCACCTAAGCATGAGAGAGCATTAGCTATATGCCAAGTACTCACCATATATGTAACACGACATGCTTCAGTGCCCCCACGTAGTTGGGACTCAGTATGTGTTCTCTTTCTTTTTTCTTTTAATGTTTATTTATTTTTGAGAGACAGAGTGACAGAGCTTGAGCACAGGAGGAGAAGAGAGAGACATACAGAAACTGAAGCAGGCTCCAGGCTCCAAGCTGTCAGCACAGAGCCCGACGTGGGGCCTGAACTCAAGAACCATGAGATCATGACCTGAGTCGAAGTCGGTCATCTAACCGACTGAGCCACCCAGGCGCCCGATGTTCCCTCTCTTCTCTTCTCCTTCTCTCTCTACTTTCTTCAACTTGCTTTCTCCCCAGGGAGCTGGAGATGGTCTTAAAGAGCCCTCCCCATGATACTGTTACTTAAAAATCAATACACATAGTAACCCTTAGTTAAAAATCAGCTGTCCTTCCAGGCTCAAGATAATTTCTGACCCACCCTCCAGTAGGGTCATCGTACCAGTGTGGATTCCATGTCTAGAATACCTCCTCACTGCTGTTCCTTCACCCTCTAACCTCACCACCTCTGCCCCAAGTCAAGCCTTAGTTACCTGGTCTCCAGACAACTACCTCCTGGCTCATTTTGGAGCCACTTTCTTTCCTGTTTCACATGATTCCTCCCCATCATCTCCCCACATTAGAATTTTACCTGTCCTGGAAAGACCATCTCAAATGTGTCCTCCTCAACAATGCTTTCTTTGGCCATCTTTCCCCCCACCCAACCATCCAGGCCAATCCATCCAGAACACTTTACTCAGGGCCTTTAGTACTTCAGGCAGCCCTGAGCAGAGGGCTTTGGAACCAAACCTACTTGGGTTAGAAGCCAGGTATGTAACAACTCACTCTGAGATCTTGATGAATTATTATACTTTTTGAGCCTCAGCGTCTTTGTCTGAAAAGTGAAAATGATCAAAACACAGTACTTCACAGATGGTAGTAAGGATGAATAATATATATAATATTCTTGGCACATAGTGGGTGTTCAACATATTCCTCATGTGTTCCTTGAAGGCAGAGTCAGACCATATATAATCAGCGTTGTCCTCCCCTTGTAGAAGCCCTGGCACATAGTAGGAATTTAGTAAATATTACCAAGGATCTACTGTGCGTCAGGCACTGTGAGATGTTCTCCTAGCAGTGGGGGATAGATAGGTAGGGGGCAGGCTTTGTTTGTGTGCCCTTCCCGTCTATGATTCATTCTCCAGCTTTTCTGCCCACCCTTCTCTCTGACCCCAGCCCCTGACTCCTACCCGTGCCACTTCTGCCAGATTTTGCTTCCAGCAAGCTGATGACTTATTTCCCACCTAGCTGATGGCTAACTTCCACTAAACAGAAACACCTCAGAGCTTTGGGGAATCTATCTTCCCACGGCTAAATAAAGTATTATTACTTTTAAGTTTATTTATTTATTTGGGCGGGGGGGAGGGGCAGAGAGAGGGAGAGAGCGAGAATCCCAAGCAGGCTCTGCTCTGAGATGCAGGGCTTGAACCCACAAACCATGAGATCATGACCCGAGCTGAAACCAAGAGTTGGACACTTAACCAACTGAGCCACCCAGGCACCACTGGCTAAATTATTGAACACTCCTGCAGTGGAATAGTACAGAGCCATTAAAAACAGATTTTCAAATATTATTTAAGATTGAGAATAAATTCTGATGGGAAAATGTTAAGTGAAAAGAGTAGGACACACTACTAAATATATAGCATAATCCCAACTTAAATAAACATAAACATATACGAAATTATACCTCTTTAAGGTTGGATAGAAATATGTCAAATTGCTAACAGCCTCCCTCTGGGAGTAGTGCAGGCTGTGGATGTCCTGTCTGTGTCCCATTGGGTCTTATAATTGTAGAATATTCTGGCCAGAATTTCAAATGCCAGCATCTGCATCCTTTTGCCTGAGAGTTTTCTTGGGGCAGAACAGTCTTTGTCTGTATACAAAGCAGGTCAGAAGTACAGGAAAATTTAATGCCTTCCTTCTCTCATCAGCATACAAGCAGTGACTGACAGAAATACGTATATAAATACCCAGTTTCCTGGTTCTCAGGTGGGATTACTCTGAGGTATAATTTCTTTTCTTTTTAATTTTTTAATGTTTTATTTATTTCTAGGAGAGAGAGAGAGAGAGACAGCGTGAGCAGGGGAGGGTCAGAGAGAGAGGGAGACACAGAATCTGAAGACAGGCGACAGGCTCTGAGCTAGCTGTCAGCACAGAGCCCGACGCGGGGCTCGAACCCATGAACCGTGAGATCATGACCTGAACCGAAGTCGGACGCTTAACCGACTGAGCCACCCAGGCACCCCAGAGGTATAATTTCTGCAATGGCTGGCAGAGTTCAGTAGGTTTACACTCCGGGGACCCTCCGTGGTGACACACCATCATTTGCTCCTACCCTTCCTGGCCTCTCTCCGCACCCTCTACCAATGTTTTCTAGGATGGCTTTCCATATAAACTACTTGCCCTCAAATCTTCGTTTCTGAGTCTTTTCGGGGGATCTGAGCTTAGACGCCTGATTTCCCAGGATTTCTTTCCTTTTTTGCTTCTCTTGTCCCTTCCGCATTTTCCACATTGAGCATGCAGTACCTTTTATTTCTTATAAGTACTTTAATTAAACATTATTTCCTTTTTGAAATATCATCACTGTTTATAAGGAAGACTTGTGCTCCAGTTGGGACCCCACACTTTACCTGGGGCATCTGCGGCTACCTCTAAAAGCAGGATCGTTTGAAGAATGGGCGAGAGAGCAGGGGGAATATATCCTAGATTAGCGATCAGTCGGGAAGCAGGCACTGTCTCTGATGATCTGTCTGGGGACAGAGGAACCGGCCCCAAGGACAGAGCCAGAAATGACAGGGGAGGCTCTAAGGCGGAAATGTGTGCTCGGTATAAGATGAACTTTAAATGATTAGCGTTGTCCCCAGGTGAATGTACTGCCTCAAGAGATAGAAGTTCTCTACGATTGCATCAATTTGTAAAGAACACCTGGATGAGTACACTTTTCAGTGAAGTTGGAGTTTCCTGCCCTGAAGAGCTGCTAGCTAGCCTTGTAGGGTTTCACAGATCTATAACTCTGAAAGATCACACTGTGACCTCTAGGAAAGAATGGGAAGGGTAGTCTAACATTTGGTAGGGCCTTTGAGTCAGGCAGTTCTAAGTTCAAATCTGGGTTCTGTCACATATAAACTGAAAAGCCCTTCATCTCTTGATCTTCATTTTCTTTATTTGCAGAGCTTCCTTTCTCACCGGGTGTCCATAAAGATTAAATGAGGTGGTGTATATACAGTGCCTGACAACCAATTCTGTCCTGCTGCAAGGCTGCTGCCTTTTGGCTCACATTCTGGTAAAAAACAGAGCTACTAATAGAGGGTGTTTGGAAAGTGGACCAGACATGTGATAGCACCAGCTGCTTCTCCACAGGGAGTCTTCACTTCCTGAGACACACTTTTAAAGACAGCAATTCTCCTTGAGCACTATTCAAGGAAACAATTGTTTACCTGGAGATTTTTATGTTTTTAAGGGCCAACTTTCATGAAAAAGGCCAAATGGAATCTAGAGCCAAACAAGGCTCTCCACTCTGCAATGGTGGGACTCTGAAGAGCACACCAGAGGGTCGTTTCAGGGGTTAGAGTACACTGACTACCTGGATGTCCTGGGGAGACCCTCAGTTCCTCCCCTCCACTTTGCAACTGTCTGTGATGTTTATGAACCACATTATGTCCAAGCCTAGGAAGAGTCAGCCCTGCACACTAAACCTTTCAACTGCTCTTGAGGTCACAGAATGTGAGCACATTGACATGCTTAGAGGTCACTCCGTCCAACTCTCTACCTCATTGTCTGAGCCACTAAAGCAGTCCACATATCACAAGCATTCAAGGCAACAGGAAGGACAACAGGGGTGTACAGGGAAGGAGTTATTAGAAGAGGGATGGGGTCTGGCTAGGTGCTGATGGGCTGTGTGTCTCCAAGAGCTAACACAGTGCCCAGAAGATAGTAGAGGGTCAATGAGTATCTTTTCAAATGATCTGAGTAGAGCGGGTTATGAGAAAGCCAGATTTAAACAGCTGTGCCACAGGCCTGGACTTGGGGCCAGACAGGCCTGAGCTCTGCCACTTGCTCTCACTAGGGCATTCCTGGATAGTAACTTAGCTCCTTGCAAATTTTCTCATCTGTAAAATGGAGAGAAGATGTGCCAGAGCTGTGAATGTGTGAATTCATCTGACTCTTAGTTGATCTTAGGTACTGTTCTTTAGACCTCAGTCTACCAATACATTGCTAGAAGATCTTGGACAATTCACTTCCATTCTCCAAGCTTCACTTTCCCTACCTATGAACTGGGGAAAGAAACTTCCTTTTACTGGGCATCTGCAATATATATTAGTCATTTTCACATGCATTATTTCACTGAATCCTCACAACAATTCCATGAGATATGTATTCCTATTGCTATTTTGAAGATGAAAAAAGAGACTTGGAGGGGTGCCTGGCTGGCTCAGTCAGAGCAGTATGTGACTTGGGGCCATTAGTTTAAGCCCCATGTTGGATGTAGAGATTACTAAAAAAATAAATAAACTTTAAAAAGAGTCACTCAGAGATAAATTGCCCTAATTCACGTAGCTATTACGTGACTGAGCCAAGGTTTGGACGGAGTTCTAACCACCCCCAAAGTTCTACACTGTCTCTGTACCTCGAAGGGAGGTCAGCACTGCCATATTTCAGCACCCAGCTTAGTGCTAAGTACACAGCGAGTCTTCAGCAAACCCTCCATTGTTACACTCTAGGTGCATGTCTTGTATCTCTGAATGGACTATGAGCTCCTTGGGGGCAGGGAATAATTGATTTCTGTGTCCCTATTGCCTAGCATTGCACCTGGCACAAAGCAAAGGCTATAATGAATGAATGAATGAATGAATGAATGAATATACGGGGGAATAGAGAATAAATTAATATAATTCCTCAGGTTACAGATAGCAGCCAAATGTGCAGGATCAGAAAACCTGGCCATCTGAAAATGATTTCAGAATTATAGATTGAGCAGTCTAGAAAGAGTGGTATCTGTAATTGTCAGTGGCATATGCCAAGGTGATTTCACCTCTTTATCTCATTTGGTCCTAGTCAGAAATTGGGGCAATCATTTATTATGCTCTTCATTTGATAGATGCAAAGACAGAGGCTCAGAGTGGCTTCTGCAGCAGACTGTCCTTTCCCATATCAAGGGTATGCAGCCTCCGGTCACATACCTCCAGGAACAGAAAAGTCACTGTCTACTGAGATGGCCTCCTCCATTTTTGTTGATGCTTGTTTTCCAGAGCAGGCTCAGGATCATGTACTATTTTCTGGATGAGGCCTTTAGAGACAGAGACAGACTGGGGCCCATTGTCCTCTTAGCACCACATTTCGGTTCCAGGAATGTCAGAGGCTGCCCTATGCACCCCCATCCCTAAACAGGTAGAGAAACTAAGGTCCTATGAGTGGGGATCCACCCAAATTACACTTCTGTTAATATAGCGTTAGCTGGCTTCTGCTGTAGCATTGTGCTGTTGATGAACTTGGAGGCAGCTCTAATCCCTTGGTCTCCTGCCTTAGCTCGGGAGTGGAGTACATCCCCAGTACCCACCCCAGAGCTTGGCACAGCTAAGTGCTCAGTAAGGGGTAGCTGAAAGAATGACTAAATATGAGGGGGGAGAAAGAGTTGAGGCTGGGCTAAGCTGGGATTGACTCAGGGTATGGTATTAGGTGAGGAGTAGGACTTGGGGCTGATATCTGGGTGTAGGGCAGACTATGTTTGGAGTCAGGGTTGGGGAGAAGAGCTGAGGTGGGTTGCCTGGAGGATTGGGTGGGGGAGGTTAGGGTTGGTGTTCAGTACCGCAGAGTGGGTAAAGTCAGGGATGATGTTGGCTGATGTTAAGATGGGGACCCTGGTTTGCATTTGGATGGGGGGCGGAGTTTGGGTTTCCTGTGAATGCAGGAGAAGAAGTATGGTGTCAGGGAGATGTATATAATCTGGGGCTGGTTTGAGGGCGGTAGAGTATGATGTTGGGATGGAGTTGATGACGTTGGAAGTAGGGATGGAGTTGGGGTGAGGTTCAAGCTTAGATCTGAATGGGGAAAGAGGTTACTGAGGGAGTTGAGTTGGTGACAGGATGAGGGCAAAGGTCAGGGTTGGGCCTGAGGGACTAAATGGCGGGTATGGTCCATGCTGATGTTGGGGCCGGCACCTGGGTGAGGACCGGGGGTTTAGCCCGCGCTGGGCCGAGGGTGCGCGAAGGGGCTAGGACTGGAGTGGGGTTCTAGCGGGGGTTAGGGCCACGGTCGGTACCTGAGCCACCACATGTAGCTGTGCTCGTAGGGAAAGAAGCTGTGCGGGTCGTCGCAGCAGTACTTGTGGTCGCGGAAGCCGCAGCAGAAGACGGCGGCCGCCTCGCCCCCCGGCCGCGGGCAGCTGAAGCCACGCACCACCTCCTGCTCGGCGCTCACGTAGCTCGTGCAGGCACCGCTCATCGCGCCCCGCGCCGGGCCCGCTGCCACCTCGGGCCACCAGACTGCCGGGCGAGGGACCGACGGAGACAGAACCGAGCCTGAGAAAGGCAGAGACTGAGGGGGAAAGAAGCGGAGAGAAGCAGCGAGATAGAGAGAGGCGCGGCGAGAGGCGCAGCGAAGCCGCGGTTAGAGACTTAGACTCCCCCAGGACTTAGAGAGGCGACAGGTACGCGGACGCGCGCAGCGGGAGGAGGTGTGAGGAGGAAGAAGAGGGAGGAAGAAGAGGGAGGAAGAGGAGGGAGGAGCGGTGGGAGTGGAGAGGGCTGGAAGTGGGGCGGGAGCGGGAGCCCGAGCGCGAGCGCAGGGTGGGGGCTGGAGGGACCGGATGGGAGCGCGACCCGCGCAGCAGCCGGGAGGTGGGAGCCGCCGGGGGAGGGGGGGACGGGGAGGGGAGAGGAGCCTCCTGGGTGCGGGTCTGTCTGTGCCTGCGCTTCCCCTACCCTCCTGCTGCGCTCCCGGGTTATGCACAGGAGTGCTGGGTGCTCAGACAGCACAAGTCCAGGGTGGCAGGGTGGGAATGGAAGCCACCGCCGCGGATTCCACACTTGCACTTGGACTCGCCTAGTGCTAGGCACTGTGTTCGACGCCGGCAGTCTCAGGGCAGTTCCAGGCTGGTGCGCGCCTCAGCGACCACTCAGTAGCGTCAGTATGGGGTGGTTAGTACACTGCTTAGCCTTCACGGCAACCCAGAGGGCCAGAGATTTTCAAACCCATTTTATAAATGAGAGCTAAGCGCCAGGGAGGTCATTTCCCCCAGTCCTCAAGCCCCTGAGATTTTGACGGGTCTGTCTGGTCTCCAAGCCCTTGTTCGTTCTGATGTTCTCATTGGGCCTCTTTTCCAGTGGACTTTTAAAAAAAAATTTATTCATTTTAGTTTATTCATTTTTGAGAGAGAGAGAGAGAGAGAGAGAGAGAGCTAGCAGTGGAGGGGCAGAGAGAGAGGGAGACACAGAACCCAAAGCAGGCTCGAAGCCCTGTGCTGTCAGCACTAAGCCCCATCCGGAGCTCCAACCCAGGAAGCATGAGACTGTGATCCAAGCTGAAGTCAGACACTATAACCAACTGAAGCCATACAGGTGCCCCTCCAGTGGACTTTTAAATATCTTCATCCTCTGGCTTCCTTGCCTGTCTCTGTCTTCCCTGAGCAGCAAATTCATGTACTGACATGTTCACACTGTGTGCAGACTCCCTGCCACACTGGCCTAAGACAAGAGAGCTACACAATGTCCCAAATTATACCCCCCCTCCCCACCGGGAAGCAAAGCCCCACACCTTTCTACTCTCAGAAGTTATTTACAGATCACAAGAGCAGCTTTCTCACTAGGATCAGGGGACCACAGCCATATATGGCACTTAGAAATTGCCTGTCTGTCCTCTCAGGGTACATTGGGGAAACTGAGGCTCTGAGAGGTACGCGGCTTCACCCAATCACTCTGATCAAGGACTAGAGACTCCTGAGATTTAGTTGTCTCATTTTATATGTGAATAATTCCCATTCAGCAAGTCACAGGGTATTGGGGCTGAAAAAGACTTGTGGGGCATGTAACCAGTTACTGAGTCATAGCTAACTTTAAAAAATAGTAATTAAACAATAGAAAAAGTGCCCTGCAGATAGTAAAGCTAAGTATTCTTTCATAAAATGCCTGTTTCAGTTACATATATGTATGTATTATGGACCAGATCACAATGTAAAATGTATTTCTTACTTTAAATCAGGTCAAAAAGGTTTGAAAGCCACTGAATCTAACACACACACACACACACACACACACACACCCACTGGACAGATGGGCAGGGGCTAACTCAAGATTACAAGAAAGGTTTAGCTCTTTTCATTTTTCACAGGAGTGGGTAGAGGAGGAAATAGTTATTGTGATGCCTTGAAACTCCTCAGATCTTCCGTCCCTTGCTTTGGGTATATGGGCGATACATCATGGGCATCAGGTGACCTGGGCTCAGGCCCTAGCTCTACTCCTTCCCTGATATTTTTGTGTTCTGGTTACTTTTTTTCATCTAGGCCAGCTTCTAAGATGCTAATGTGTACCATGCTTTTTAATGTTTATTTATTTTTGAGAAGAAGAGAGACACAGGGCAAGTGAGGGAGTGCCAGAGAGGGTGGGAGACACAGAATCTGAAGCAGGCCCCAGGCTCTGAGCTGTCAGCATAGAGCCTGATGCAGGGCTCAAACCCATGAACCACGAGATCATGACCTGAGTCAAAGTCAGATGACCGGCTAAGCCACCCAGGTGCCCCTGTGTGCCATCTTTTGACCTGAGCACCAGAGTCTGTGAGAGGGGTCAGATCTGGGTATGCCCTTGAGAAACACACAGATGATCACAGGACAGAGCAGTGAAAGGGAAAACACAGGGACCATGGCCACAGAGGGGTCACCATCTGAAGGACAGAGGAAGAATTTTGGTGGGGGTAGTATCCTCAAGTGTCACTATAAGGTCAAATGTGAAAACTGGAGGGAATTGTTATTATCCCCCAGAAAACCTTTCCACTGAGCTGTGGATCTCTGCAAACTGGGAGCTGGAGGGCATACCATAATGAAGGTGCGCTTTGGCCTCTTTATTTATCAGATGGAAAGTAAAGGGGGTAGCGGAATCCTGTGGAAAGGAGAGAGGTCTCCTGGAGACAAGGTTTAACTGGGAGGTAAAAAGGACTCTGCTCTGGCTTTGGGAAAATTGTGAAGCTGCCAACAGTTTCCAAAAACTTTTCCAGCCAAGAATTAATTTGTTCCTCCCAACAACGCTGTGGGGTGAGCCAAGCAGGGATGATTGTGCCCCTGAGAAATAACAAACCCAATGTCACACAACAGTCAATGGCCCAGGCATCAATAAACATGATAAACATGTCTGTTTATCCAAGGATTCCTTTAGTGGTCTGGTGAAGACTTACAGACCCCGTCCCCCAATTCAGAAGAATATTAAAAAATTTTTTTAATGTTTATTTATTTATTTATTTATTTTTTAAATGTTTTATTTATTTCTAGGAGAGAGAGAGACAGCGTGAGCAGGGGAGGGTCAGAGAGAAAGGGAGTCACAGACTGAAACAGGCTTCAGGCTCCGAGCTGGCAGTCAGCACAGAGCCCAACGCAGGGCTCGAACCCACGAACCACGAGATCATGACCTAAGCGAAAGTCGGACGCCCAACAGACTAAGCCACCCAGGCGCCCCAATGTTTATTTATTTTTGAGAGAGAGAGAGAGAGAGTGACCCGGGGAGGGTCAGAAACAGCAGGAGACACAGAATCCAAAGCAAGCTCCAGGCTCTGAGCTGTCAGTACAGAGCCGATGCAGGGCTCGAACTCACCAATTGTGAGATTGTGACCTGAACTGAAGTTAGAAACCTAACTGACTGAGCCACCCAGGCACCCCTGGAAGAATATTTTTAACTACATAAAGTAAATTACTTAGGATAACAAGAATGCTAGTTATATAGAATCATTATCAGAATATTTATTTTGTGTCTTTTTAAAACATTAAATAATAAGATTTAGAGATTGGTCTATTAACTATTGTAATTTTAAGGTGGTAAATGAGTGTAAGCAGTATTTCAAGATATTGCTACTGTAATGCAATACAAAACTATGATTTCCATTGGTGACAAAGTCACAGGTACTGCTAAATAGTACTGTGGCTTGTTCCTTACCTGCATGACAGAAAGAAATGCTAAATTCCAGTTAGAGGTTAGTGAAAACAAGGTGTAATTTTTTTTCATTCTAGGTTCATGGACCACCCTCCTGAACCTCTGGGCTCTGTGGACCATATGCTAAAATCCTTTAGCTTTTCTGGCCTACCTCCTACTCTAATGCTTGCTTATTCTTCCTGCAGGCACTTACTGTAGGTCAACTAAGTACCAGGAAGTTTTCCATTTTGTATGTCATAAAATCCTTGAAAACTTCCTTTGAGATTGGTGTTATTCTTTCCATCTTGCAGAGTAAGAAACTCAGGGAGGTTAAGTGATTTACCCAAAGACACACAGCCAGTGTGACTCCTTCCATCAACTCCTTCCTCCCCAATGAGGTCTGGGGACCAGAGTCTCCAATACTACAAGGGAGAGAAAGTATAGGAAGGAAGGGTGAGCAGGGAGAATTCACATTTACGGAGAAAACACTGTAACCTAGAGATTGTGTTCTGTGCTTTTCATCTCTCCTTTAGCCCTGACAACAACCTTGTGCAAATTACTCTCCTGATTTTAAATAATTTTAAGTAACAAAATACATACATATTCATTATAAAACAACAAACTAGAAATCACAGTAAGTTAAAAGAAAAAACTAAAATCACCCATAATCTCATCACACAAAGCAAATACTTTGATATGATATCTTCAGATACACAGACACACACATCACACCCTGGACCCAAACAGGTTAAGTAGCTCGCTCAAATATATGCAAGGAGTAAGTTCCAGTCACCTGCAGTGTGACCTAAGGTTGGTTACCTTCTGTGTTCTCATTCCATTAGGGCAGTAGTTACTATTACTCGAGATGGAAGAGCGTGTACCCCGGGGCCTGGCGAGCCATAACTGGAAGGGTCTCTGGCTTGACTCTCAAAGCAGTGCCCCTAGACCTCAGCAGCCTTGCTCCAGGAACCCAGTCCCCTCAGAGAGTCTCCAGAAAGAAACAGCCCCTTGCAGGGGTGGGCCACGCAGTGCGATGACCTCAGTCAGCAGTGGCTGAGAGCCTGTGTAGTGTACTCACAGGCTGAGGTTGTAGACTCACTGCTGGGCTCAGCCGTGTGTGGGCCCATGGGCAGTGTCTGCACTCGACACTGCGACACTGTGCCCCTCTCCCCTTCCCTGATGCCTGCAGCTGTGCCCACCCTGACCCCATCCCCTATGCACCCCCATCCTTGCCCTCAGGCCCCCACAGAGCAGCTCACTGAAGCTGGAGAAGCAAAGGAAGGACAGGCAAGTGCATTATGTCTCTCTAAGTGCCAGTTCCTCTCAGGGTCTCCCCCATGATGCCCAGTACGAATCCTTCCCTTCCCGTCCACAATGATGCTCTTGTGTCTCATCCTGAGAGAAGTGACTTTACCACGGTGGAACACTGATGACATCCAGGGACAAATCGGGACCTAGGCTTAGAGCTCCTGATACCAGTCAAGCTCTTTCCCAACTCCAGGTGTAGAGTTTCTGTTAAGACACATAAAATGACAAAAAGGATAATATAAAGACCACCCATATACCCT